TATTTGTTGAAACTGTACTTCTGATTTGATTTGAAACTGTCTCATTGCTATCTGTTTATCAATAAAACTTTGAAAAAAATGTAAGTATTCACTTTGTTTTTTGATGACACCTTGAAAGCTCTAGGTGTAGGACACAAGAGATGTAAAAATGAAGACATCAAGAAACAGAGCCTGTGCGTTTTTATGCCTGGCTTGATGGAGAGAGGATGGTTGTAGGGACAAAAGAGGTAGAAACAAGCGGTAATAAACTGAGCAGCCTGTGTTCAGGCTTTTTTCCTGTGCCTTTGTGTGTCTTTGACTCTGGATATAAGGAGGGGACTTCTTCTTCTTCTTCTTCTTCTTATTCTTTTTTTTTTTTTGGTGGAACTGGGGATTGAACTCAAGCCCTTGGGCTTACCAGGGAAGTGCTTATTCCACTTAGCTATTTCCTTGGCCCCAGGAGGGGACTTCTTGAGTGGCGTTCTTATAACCTACTTCAAAAAACAAGGGTGACGGGCTGCGGAGATAGTTCAGTAGAACTAGGCAAGTGCAAGGTCCTGAGTTCAATCCCTGGTACCACAAAAACAAAACAAAACAAAACAAAAAAACAGAGCACACAAAAACCAACCAACCAACCAAACAAACAAAAAACAGGGTGGAAGTAAGTCAGAGGCTTATCTTCCTGCTGCTGTTGATTTCTCATAGGTCAGGATGCCATAGTTTGGAGTGGTGTGTCAGGATCCCCACCAATATCACACATAAAAACATTACCTAATCCAAGGTCATGAGGGAGGCTCATGGGAATCTCTGAGTCTGCTCTCTGCTGGTCAGCAGTGTGGGATGACTAGTGCTCTCATGAATAACTATTGTCTGAGGCTGGGGCTGCTAGCAGGACTGAGCCCTGAGCTGTTCTCACTCCACTCATTTGTGCCAGCCCTGATTGGGGTTGTTAGATGCCTAGGTGGTATGTAAGAATTGGAGAACTGTTTGTTAGAAAGCACCACTGAGGCCACTCAGGTTGTCTGCTTCTGTTGCTGGACCCTCCAGAATTATTTTCACTTATGAGTTCCTAGAAGAGCCAAGATGTTGGCATGACTGGCTGGTGTTTTTGTGGCCCACATTGCTGCTGCTATTACATTCTGTTTCCACCATTGTTTTCAGGAGCTTTAAATACATCTGTAGGACTTTGGAAAAGCTTCAACAATGGTGGTGGCTATGACCTGTCACGTGGGCATAAAGATTCCCTTAAGACAGTGAAGTTATTTGTAGTCATGCCCTTTATGTCTCTTATGATCTTCATGTTCCAGTTCTTTGCCATGGAGAAGAGAAACTAGTTCTTCCTGGGAGCCCCTTGCTGGTGCTGGTTGTGCATTATGATAAGAGTGTCCATCTGCACTCGTTATGCCAACAGCGATGGAAATGCACCTCCGCACAGGCATCTGCCATGGCTGCTCTTCATCCTGATCTGGACCTGCTTCTGCTTCAGTTTTATCATTGGCTCTCTCTATGTGCCCCTGGGAAAGAAGTCAAACAAGTGTTGGTGGGGAAGAGGAAGGCACTGGAATCTGAGAGATGACTGGAAATCACTGGTAGGAAGAACCAAGAGAGGAGAGAGGACTGGGGAGGGGGAAGAAAGAGTGGGAGAGGTCCAAACCCAAAACATTCTTGAGGACATTCTTGACTGTCAATGTTTCCCAAGAGCCCTTGCCCTTGGGAGAAAGTCACTAGCTTGTGCACTGATACTCCCATGATGGAGGCCAGAGAAACTCCCTGCAGCCATGAGACTTGGCCTCCGGCTGCCTATACTTCTGAGGATGAATTCTGTGTTCTACACTGAAGTCTTCCAGACCTACTTTAGCAAGTATAAATAACAGATAGCACAACAGGTTCTGGCAAGAGTAAATCCTGTCTCTGGGATGACTATGCTAAGACTGGAAGCCACCCTGACTTTTGACCCAAGGCAGAACTTCACATTCCCATCTGAAGTGTCTATAGGAGGGCTCTGGCCAAGGAACTGCTGTGCCTCTTGAGGATAGATATTTAGCTCTGTGGAATTCAATGGCACTGTGACAAAAGGGGAGACAGAGAGATAATTTATAAAGCCAAGTTGGAGGGCTAGCTAATCAAGAGAGAACTTTCTATCATGGGAGACCCAGGGAGGGGCAGGGCCCAGTCAGATTTCATAACTCTACCTCCCAGAACTTCTTGCTATTGACGCTGTAAACATCTAGCTCACTCAGGGCTTAACCTGGGTCCAGTGGACCTATCCCTTGCTTTTATACTGTGAATTTGTACTTTAGCATTGTAGTAGCTGATTGCATATCTTAGCACCTTGCTCTGTGGGATACAGGAATTAATCTATGTGTTTGTCCACTTGGTATGACAAACAGCAGAGTGTACATGTGTGCAAAAATGACAAAATGGGATGTGGATCCATCTTTATGCCACATCTAACTGGCTTTGCATATTTTCACCCAAGCATCACAGAGGGTCCAATAGACCTAAAGCACTCCAGGGCTTGTTAAAAAAATGTTTGCTTCCCAGCCAGTGAGTGAGTGAACAAGAGAGGAGAGGGCACTCTGGGTGAAGGCACTGTGGCCACCATTATCCCCTGCTTTTCTGCTGTACCTACCTTGGTGTCCTGCCTGATCTACTTGTTTGTGGCATATAGATAGGTGTGTCCATTTAATTGAAGAAAATGGAAACTGAGCAACCAGAGGAAACCTTCCCCAACACTGAAACCAATGATGAATTTGGTAAACATCCTTCAGAAGATATGGAAGAGGAGCAAGCATTTAAAAGATCTAGAAACATTGATGAGACGGTTGAATTACGAATTCTGCTTCAGAGCAAGAGTGCTGGGACAGTGATTGGAAAAGGAGTCAAGAATATTAAGACCCTCCATACAGACTACAATGCCAGTGTTTCAGTCCCAGACAGTGGTGGTCCCGAGCACATATTGATTATCAGTGCTGATATTGAAGCAATTGGAGAAATTCTGAAGAAAATCATCCCTACCTTGGAAGAGTACCAACACTATAAAGAAAGTGACTTTGGCTGTGAGTTGAGACTGTTAATTCATCAAAGTCTGGCAGGAGGAATTACTGGGGTCAAAGGTGTTAAAATCAAAGAACTTCAAGAGAACACTCAGACATCAACCAAGCTTTTCCAAGAATGCTGTCCTCATTCCAATGACAGAGTTGTTATTACTGGAGGAAAGCCTGACAGGGTTGTAGCGTGTATAAAGATCATCCTTGATCTTATATCTGAGTCTCCTATCAAAGGATGTGCACAGCCTTATGATTCCAATTTTTATGATGAAACTTATGACTATGGTGGTTTTACCATGACGTTTGATGACTGCTGTGGATGGCCTGTAGGATTTCCTGTGTGGGGAAAAGGTGGTTTTGGCAGAATGCCTCCTGGTCAAGGTGGGCATCCCATGCCTCCCTCTAGAGGAGATTATGATGACATGAGCCCTCGCTGGGAACCACCACTTCCTCCTCCTGATCGAGGTGGCAGGAGTGGTAGCAAAACTGGGAGTCTTCCTCTTCCACCATCACCACCACCTACAAGAGGAGATCTAATGGCCTATGATAGAAGAGGAAGACCTGGAGACCACTATAATGGCATGGCAGGTTTTAGTGCTGATGAAACTTGGGACTCTGCGATAGGTGGAGCCCATCAGAATGGCAGATATCATATGAACCACAGGGTGGCTCTGGATATGATTATTCCTATGCATGGGGTCATGGCTCATATGGTGATATTGGTGAACCTATTATTACTACACAAGTAAGTATTTCCAAAGATTTGGCTGGATCTATTATTGGCAGAGGTGGTCAGCAGATTAAACAAATCCATCATGAATCAGGAGCTTCTATCAAAATTGATGAGCCCTTAGAAGGATCCGATGATCAGATAATTGTCATTACAGGAACAGAGAGCCAGGTACAGAATGAACAGTATTTGCTGCAGAGCAGTGTGAAGCAGTGTGCAGATGCTGAAGGATTCTAATGCAAGATACTGTTTTCTTTTTTATAGTGTGAAGCAGTATTCTGGAAAGTTTTTCTAAGACTAGTGAAGGACTGAAGGAGTCCTGCATCCTTTTTTTTTTTTTTTTTTAAGTCTGCTTCTGCTTAAAAAGCCAACATTCCTCTGCTTCATAGGTGTTCTGCATTTGAGGTGTAGTGGAATCTTTGCTGTTCACCAGATGTAATGTTTTAGTTCCTTACAAACAAGGTTGTGGTGGGGGAGGGCGTGCAAAAACTAACAGTGGAATTTTAAAGCAGCAGCAGGGTGAGTGGATTTTATTTTTTGTTCATTGCTGGTAGTTAAAAAAATCCCCCCCCCATGTAATTATTGTGAATACCTTGCTTCATGTGTTCACTGTAAACATTTGGGGGGTGGGACAGGGAGGAAAATAACAATAGTCCCCATGTCCCTGGCGTCTGTGCAGAGGAGTGTGCAGGATGAAATGCTCTTTTGTAAGAAATGTTTTTAGGATTTTTAAAATAAATTTAGTGAATCTAAAAAAAAGTTTGCTTTTAGTTTTTCTGGTAGATGTTGTCAGAGACCTGGCTGTGTAAAGGTGAAGCTGCTGGACACAGTGCTTTCTGACTGTACTGGAGGAGCTCATATTCATAGTGCTCTAAAGTCAAAATAACACCCCAAACGAGACAGTCGAGGGCGCAGGCTGCTGAACACTCCCTATTCCAGAGCAATAAAGCTGTCAACCATAGAAATCAAACAGTTCTCTTAATTAACAAAATTTACTGCCTTGGGTCTAACTCACAGGGTTTTGCACCCTCTACTTGCTGTACCTCCTCCAGTCTGTGGAATAAATACAGGATGTCCAGAGTTCTTGTCTTTTTATAAAAAATATTATTTAAAAAATCTTTTATTTATTCATTTATTTGGTACAGGGTCTTGTTATTCAGCTTACACTCATAATGATCCTCCCGTCTCAGTGTTCCCCAGCACTGGGATTACAGTCGTGCACCATCACACCTGGTTTTGGTGGCCTGCAAGGTGCGCCCAGGGTTCTGAGGCCAGTATGGCATGTGGTACCAGGGATTGAACCTGGATCCTTGTGCTAGTCAAATAGGCACTTAGATTGCTGAGCTATCTTCCCAACCCCAGAGTTCTTGGCTTTATTCCCAAAGAATTTTGACCTTCATGGAGCCCCCCTCCCCACCAAACCATACTACTTGTCTCTTTTACTTAAGCCATCTGTCATATGCTCATTTGTTGGAGATTAGGCTTAGGCCCGGTCCATGATATCTGGGGTCTGATCAGGGACCTGAATCCTTGGACTAGACTTTTAAGCCTGAATGAGTAAAATTCACTCAGAGTGGAAAATACTTGAGACAGAGAGGTCCTTTACAGGAAGAAACTGTTCCAGCATGCCTGGAAAAGAGAAGGAAAGAAAATTCTTCCACATGGCAGAAAGGGTAAGTTTTCTCATTGAGAAAGGCAATTTATTTCTATTATTCAGAAATAAAACATGGAGGAAAACACAGATCAATTTTAGCTCTATTAAACAGCTTAGGTATCAGGGTTATCACTGCTAGAGTCATTTAGGAACAAAACTGGTTCGGCCTAAAGAGCCTAGGAGAAGCCACACCACATGAATCTATCTGAAAATGCTCAGTGACTTGTGTGCCAAAGAAAGGCTTCACAAAAATGCTCCAAGAGATAACTAAACATAACCTATGGCTTCTTCAGACAGGTACTGTAGATGGGAGAGAGTTAGAAAAAAAATTTTATGAACACACGATGGGGAGAAATAATCTCCCTTGAGCTCTTTTCAACTTAGAAATCAATTCAATCAACTTTAAATGCATTATAGAACTCACAGCCAATAGCCTCTGATTGAGATTCAGAGAAAACAAAATTTCTCCAAACAAAGACTTCCACTTCCAAAGTGGAGACTCTTGGGAGAGCTGCCACCCCACACACTGGAGTCTTTGCAAAAAAAGTCAGTCACCACACCAGAGGTGTTTGGGGAGAGACCTCAGTGAATTGGCAAAGCTCAGGGAAAAAACAAACCTGAACCAATCTACCTAGACACCTACAGACTCTTCAAGGGGGAACCAAAAACGTAAGAATGGAGAAACTGCTGTGCTCCACTGTTGCCACCACTTCTCACAGACCTCTGGGTGGGGGAGAAGCTGGGTTGGTGGGTGCTGGCCAGTCTCCCAATGGGGACCATAGAGTTCTGCAGAGCCTAGAGCTGGCCCTGGATGAGGGAGGGGGAGGAACCCAAATGCCAGCCTTGTCAAATGGCACGTCAGCTGCAGTGCAAAACAGGTTATGTGCCATGGCTCAGGGCACCAGGTGGCCACAGCTTTGTCCTAGTGCAGGTCAACAGTGACAGTCATCTTTCTATGCTTCTGTCCATCTGGGATGCGCCTGCTTTCTGTCTGTCTGTCTGTCTGGCTGGCTGCCTGTCTCTGTCTCTTTGTCTGTCTCTGTCTCTGTCTCTGTGTCTCTCCGTGTGTCTGTGTGTCTCTCTCATCATCAAGTGGTGCCAGCTGCAGCTATAAGCTATGTGGACACCAGTAGTCATAGCAACATAGGAGACAATCACAAACAGATTTCTCATTCATAAGCAGGACAAAAATTAGCTTGCTTCAATTGGTTTTTGATAATATATCTAAAGATTATGTTCAGATTTGTCCTTAGACAGGGTGCTGGAGTGCTAGGTGTGCAGAAGAAGGAAGTGAAATGCAGCACCTACCTGGAGTCAAAACAAAGGCACCAGTGAAAGGGAGAGTTATAGTAGTATTGGAAATTACTTAAAAGCCTCTAAGGTTGTAAAAACCAAATCCTATAAATGTTTAATGTTAATCCCAAATACACAGAAAGCCTGATAATTAGATTTAAATCCTGTAAAATTTTTTATTTCAGTGATCAAGAGAATGAGCCAAGGAAATCTATAATGATCAAAATCAGGCATACACCTCTACATAAAATTTTTCTGGTTTTTGATTGGCCTAAATTTTTATACTTTCTTTAAATGCATCCTTGCTGTGTTCAGTCTTACACAGAGATCCCAGGAATGCTGTTAGCAGAGAGAAGTTCTGCACAGGTGACAGAATATGTAGTGATGACAGAGCTGATGACTGTATATGAAGGAAAAGGACAGGAAGTTGCTGGTATTCTTAAAACAAAACAAAAAATTAATTATAGAGAAAAGGTTCTATTTATCCTAAATTCTTATTATAAGAGATCTCTGTTAATTGACATACAAAAAGTTTTTAACTAGTCTATTTATAATTATAAACTTCAAAAATTATAAGTTGTTGTAATGCTATATGGAAAAATACATGAGTACTTTATAAACAAATTGTCCTACATGTATTTGTTGTTTATCTGTCTGTCCAATGTGTAGACAGTTGTTTTATTTGAGCTCAACAAATATTTTTTTCTTTGTAGTTTTGAATTTTTGAAAATTTGTGTGTAATTTAAGTTGGTTTATAGGTAAATGCCATTAAAATTAAGGACTTACTTCTATCTAGGTTGCCAAAAAATCATATTGATATCAAAATTGGTTTTATAAATGCAATGCATATTGTTGTCTGTATATAATAATTTGAGAGCCTTTCATTGGTCAAAATAGTTTCTTAAGTGTTATGCTCTTGTTCTCATAGGTCCTCACACATTTTGTTAAGATAATTAAACAGAAATCCTTTGATCTGAAGAAACTCCTGGACAGGAGTATTTTTGGTGAATAAAGGAGAAGCTACTAGAAAAATTGTATTCAAGCCTTTGTCCATTAATGACCTCCATAGCCTTATGGGAAACTCCCTAGTGAATATTGTTAAATATATTATTGCGATAAGTTTACATTGGTCGTCATCCAGTCTTCTATGGGTAAAACAATAAGATTTCCTTACTAAAAGGTGCTCTTGAAACAATACAGTAAGAAGCTCCCAAGAAAACAGGAAGATAATGGATGAAAAAGATGTGGTATTTTTATACAATGGAGTATTACTCAGCTATAAAGAATGATAAACTTGAAGCCTCCATATTTAAGTGGATGCCACTTGAAGATATACTCATAAGTGAAATAAAAAAGACCCACGTGTGTAAATATCATATAATCTCCCTAGTATAAGAACTCAAAAGAAGAAATACAAATAGAAAGTCATAACACAATTAAAAACAAAGTGAGAACTTGAGGATTAGACAATGAAGAGAGAGTAAGGAAAAAAAATAGGAAACATGACAAGGGCAAAGCCATACATTTATATGTACAAGATGGGTAAGGTAAGGATCCTGAGAATCTTCAGCAGGTTTTCAAAACTAGCAGTTAATTGGTAGGATTCTCACCCTGACTAACTATATATGCTGATACCTGTGAACTAAGCATCTGCACTGAAGATAGCAATGCATAATAGTAGGGTCATTCTTGGAGTGCCTGTCATTCTGGTCTTCTGAATACATGCTGCTTGTCATGACACGCCAGTTGCTGTGCTGTCTCTCAGGTAGATG